CCTGAGGAATAGGTTGTCTGGCCTCTCTGCCTAAAAAGCCGGCATACAAAAGTAGTAGAAGGCATACTCGGACAACATCGACGTCATTCATCCGAGTAAAACCATCTTTCTTATTAAACAATTTCTTCATGTCGTCGACGTATAAGTTCGGCTTCTCTATTGACTCATCAGGAAAAACCCTGGATAACCATGATGGGCGGGTGATATGACGAGTGTACCGGCCTACATCATCGTGTCCGAATCGTAGACCAGTGATTAAGCAGAACTCCTTCCGCCCAAAACAAGTATACGCCGGTGGAAAATGAAACCATATCTCTTCCTCACCACGTTGTATACTGTCGGGTAGATCTCTAGTCATGGTCTGAAGCCACAAATGGGTCAAATTAGCATCTCCACCCGGATGCTGTACTCTCAGCCATGGCCTGAAGCAGGTTTCCTCAAACAATTTTCTTTGTGCAGGTGAAAGCTTCGAAGCAATTGTAGTGGCTAGGCTAACTTTATTCCTTAATGTCAATGAAGCCGAAAAAAATTTCTACAAAAACAATAAACATACCAAGTTAGATATACCAAAAACTACACTGTCAAGATATACCAAAAACAATAAACATAAATAGTAGTTTATTCTTGAAACTAAAATTTGCAACACTGTTTTGTCTTTTGGTTGAAATGAAAATCGCAACGAGATAAAGAGAATCGCAACGCGAAATGACTATCGCAACGAGAGAATCGCAACGCGAAATGAAAATCGCAACGCGAAATGAAAATCGCAATGCGATTTTGGTTTCGCGTTGCGTTTTTTATTTCGCGTTGCGATTCTCTCGTTGCGATAGTTATTTGCGATTTTCATTCTCGAAACTATTCTTCTTCTGCATTACTTCAACCAAAAGACAAAACAAAGACAAATACTAACTTCACAGGCTAAACAGTTTAGCAGTATTGACAGTAATCGAATGAATTTAATAAGAAATCTAAGTGAAATGGTTAATCTATTATTGAAATTACCAGTAAACTTATCATCAATCTCAATATGAAAAACCTAAAATAATGCAAAAATTTCAAAATAAAATTAAAAAAAATTAACCCTCGGAGGTTGATTTTCAATTTTTGAATGATTGTGAGGGATTTTTGACTGTGAATGGTTGTGAGGGATTTCGCCGGCGATGGGGACGGAAATCTTCGGAGATGGGGACGGATTTCGCCGTAGAGAGTGAGAGATGGAGATGGGACTGAATGTTGTGATTTTGGGTTTGAGGTTATGAGTTGCGATTACTGTGGACGGTTCAGTTTCCGATTTATTAAGAAAAAATTCGTGTTTGGAATTTGAAAAAAAATACGCGTTAATACGAATGACGCTATGTAAATCGCGTTGCGAAAGTCAGAATCGCGTTGCGAAAGTCAGTATCTCGTTGCGATTTTGTATTATCGCATTGCGATAGTAAGTATCGCATTGCGATAGTCAGTATCGCATTGCGATTTTTCCAATTCGCGTTGCGATTTACTTATTCGCATTGCGAATTGGGAAAATCGCAACGACACTGTAGACCATCGCAACGCGATTTCCAACTATCGCAACGCGAATTTGCGATAATGGAGATCGCGTTGCGAATTAGCAATCGCATTGCGATTTTGTTGGTCATTTTGGCAAATCCGAAAAAAGTTAGTTAAAATCGTATATTATAAGGCATTTTTTGGTCACTGAGGCGATTTTCTCTTTTATAATTGCAAATAAGATAATAAACTATAATATAATAGAAAATTCCATACGATACGTAAAATAACAAGAATGTAATAGAAATATAAATATATTGAAATATATAATAAATATTATTCCTATAAACATATCTATATTAAAAGCAAGTAATATATTGAATATTATATGGTATATAAAAAAACAAATATGTAGCTAATGAGTGCTGGCACAAGTGGTTGGGATTCAAGAATTTGAGCTTGTAAGTCCAATCTCGAATCTTACTAGTGTCACTCTTGATGGACAAGCAGTAAATTCTTATATAAATCCTAATTGAGTCTTAAGTATGTCCTGACCCTGGATTAAGAAGTCACCCTTTACCTAAATTTTATGTAATAAAATATATATACTTACCTAAATTTTATGTAATAATAATATATATATATATATATATATATATATATATAAAGTGATGGATTATTTCATCTAATTGGATTTATCTATTAATCGAATCAAGTCGACTATGGCTCTCTTTTTTTTTAGTTTTTATTCGCTACTCAATTTGGCCCGACCTAATTTATAGGCCCCACTCACTTGTCTATTTAAAATAATATAACATTTTAATTATGAACAATAAAAATAATTTTAAATTATTAAATAATAATTTAACTGAAATTATGATCTAAAATTGCTAAATTTAGTGGCCCAAGATCCTGCCCATACGAATAATTCTGTCTATTTAATTTCTGCTAAAAAAAATTCAAAATTAAAGCATTTATCACCCAAAAAGAAAAGCACAGGCTGTTGGGTTGTTTGCTTTGGAAGTTACTTTTCTCACCTCATGAATTTGGAGCCTTTATTTAGATGTCACCATTTTTTAAATAATTATTTAAGGAAATAATATTTATCGTTAATTAGTTATAAAACTATATTATTTTATCGTATGTGACATGTTTATTTATCAATCAAAATATTAAATTAAAAAAAAATAAAGTACGACTCATTTAGTTTGTTTTCATGGTATACAAAATTTTACACAAGTAGTGAATTTTATAAAATTTAATTATTTTTTATATTTTTTATAGATGATCTAACTACGTCTCTTCTAAAATTTTGTAATTGTGTATCTTAAATTTATAATATAAATTATCAAATATGAGGTTCGTTCTTCTTAACAGAAAATCATGTGTCAATTTCTACACACTAAAATCGACATAAATTATTTATTTATTTTTAGAAAAAATCTTAAGACAAAACCTAAAACAATTCTCTTTTTCTTAAGTGTTATCGCTCACTATTAAGATGCTGTTTACTTAAGATCGAAATGACATGATAAAATTATTTCTTTTAGTAAAAGTAAAAGTAATTAAGATGCTATTAATATCTCCCTCCCTACTTTATATATGCCACTCACATGGTGATGGCACTATTTGAAAGCTCCATAACTGAAAACCAAAGGGGAAGAGAAGAAGCAGCAAAGGGAAGCCATGGGAAGACCACCATGCTGTGATAAAGTAGGTATGAAGAAAGGTCCATGGACTCCTGAAGAAGACATCATCCTCGTCTCTTACATTCAAGAACATGGTCCTGGAAACTGGAGATCAGTCCCCGCCAATACTGGTATATATATATTAACTTAATCTGTTTCAGATTTTGATTGAATTTCATAGGTTTGTTTGGCTGATCCAGATCTGTTTAGGGTTGATGAGATGCAGCAAAAGTTGCAGGCTTAGATGGACTAATTATCTCAGACCAGGAATCAAAAGAGGCAACTTCACTCCTCATGAAGAAGGGATGATTGTTCATTTGCAAGCATTATTGGGTAACAAGTAATTGTCAAATCTTTTCCTCTTTTTTTTTTGAATCGGATTTCGAGCTTTGATCGTTTTTCCTTCAATATTATGCGTTTTTTTGTTTGTTTGTTTTGGTTATAGATGGGCAGCCATAGCATCGTATTTGCCGCAAAGAACAGATAATGACATAAAGAACTATTGGAACACTCACTTGAAGAAAAAACTCAGGAAGTTCCAGTCAGTTTTGGAGCCTTCTTCAGTGGCGGCTGCTACCGATGAGATCGATTCGGAGGATAGAAAGAGCTTAGGTTTTGGTACCGACGCTCGATCTGGTTCGAGCAATGTTAAGCTAAGCCAAAGCTCTTCTACTTCTTCTTCTTCGTATGCTTCGAGCACTGAGAATATTTCTCGTCTTCTTCAAGGTTGGATGAGATCGTCTCCCAAGGTTAACGGTGACAGTATTCGGAGCTCTTCTTCTGCTACTGCGAACTGTGATTTGATCTCCCATGGAGACGGTCAGTTAGAATCGATTCTATCGTTCGAAAACATGAACAACGTTGCATTAATGGAGAACTCTACTTCAAAGGGTACTTTTCAAGATTCTGGAAATGGTGAAAGGTTGAACCCAGAAAAGAAGCCAAAAGCTGGTCATCTGAAAAATCTTAATAATAATGACGATGATGATAACGATAACGATAACGATAATCCTCCATTATCGTTTCTTGAGAAGTGGTTTTTGGATGAAAGTTCTGCAGGTCAAGTAGAAGACATGAATCAAATGATGGAATTGTCTTCAATTTTCTAATATTTCTTATTCTTTTTATTTAATTACTTTAATTTCATTTTCAAGCTTTCCGGGGGAAGATGGGAAATAAAAAAAAATAAGTTTGGATTATTTGTGTAGGGTTTAAAATTTTCATTTTTGACATTCTCGATAAGTTTGGGATCTCTTAGTATTAACAAAATGTAATTAGCCTCGACTGTTTCTTTACGAACGCTCGAAGTTAATTATATTTATAAGTAGTAATATATGTTCAAAAGATTCAATCGTTTAATAATGAACATTCAAATATTCTATAGTTACTACTTACTAGTTTTTGAATCCGAAGACTCTGAAAACAATTATCTTTTTAACTATTGAGATCGCTTGATTCAATTTGAGTATATAATTATATAGTTTGTAATATGTTTAGACAACCGTACCAATTTATGGATCTCTCTAAATTTAATATAATTGGAAGTCTCCTATTACACTCTTCCATTGAAAGAAGATTGAGAATTGATGCTACATAATTGTGCTCTTTATTTTTTTATGAATATTTTTATTATTCCATAAATTAAGATTTATTATTATTATTATTAATTAATAACTCGTATTCGATTTATTGATCAACTAATTCAGATCGAATGCTGCAGAGACAATAACAACCCTCTTAACCCAATTTGCTCCATTCACAAACGTCAATATTCAAACCTCTGACCTTGCTTAAGAAATTCAGTGTCTCATCCCACTAGATCAACTGGTTCATGGTAGATTTATTATTATTATTATTGTTTTATAATTTTATAATAATATTACCAATTTTATGTATGTACATTTTTCCTTAAAACATCATCTTTATATATGTAACATTTGAACTCCCATTTTTATATATATACATCAAGTGTCTGTCCCACTAAATTATTAAATTATTGATTTTTTTAAAAAGTTAAAATTTTTAAATTTGATTATGATTATTTTAAATAATTAAACCTTATAAAATAGATAATCAAAAACTACTTTATTTAAGGTATTTAAAATATTTTTTATAATTTTATCAATAATTTTTTTTAAATAATAATAAGTTAAAATTAAAAAAAATTGACTAAAAAAGTCAACAGTAGACAAATTTAATGAGACAAAGGGAGTATATATTAATTTTCTCATTTTTTAATAACATCAATTTACAATTTATTATTATTCTTACATGTTTGAATTCTATAATATATATTATATAATATATATTTATAACATCTTTATTCAATCTTGATAGTTTTATTTTTATTAATATTTTTTTACTTCCAAATACTTAAATATTTATAAAAATATATACGTTTAAGATTGTTTTTATAATGAATAATATTATTTAAAATTTAAATTACATAATTATAATATGTATGATCAAATATGATATTAAAAATTAAGATGCAATTACATTGTCCTTGCCAAACATATCTAGATAGTTAGATTTTTTTTGGTCCTCCTGATTCTAAGGTTTCGTCTTTATTAGTCTGCATTAATCTGCGTCACACATTTGAATTTTGTGGATGAATCTCCCATCATAGATTTTATGCATACATAATAACTCAAACTTGAAATATTACTTACGCGATATCAAGTTACTTACCACTTGAACTAATCTCTCTTGGTAGATAGATAGAGTTTCTAATAATTATACTTTCATAATATAATTATTAAGATAGAAATTACATTTCTATGTAATTACATTATGGTGTCTAAATAAGTTGATTAATGTTTTTACTCACTCGTGACTCGTGAACTTATTGATAAATTCTTTATTACTCCACTAATAATAATTTTTTAGTTAAATTCTGATTTTTTTTCTCTCTCGATTTCAAGATTTTGTCTTGACTATGACGAATCAACCCTCATCGCACACTTGATTTTGGTGGGTGAGTCTCCAAATAGGGATTTTCTGTATACACAAAGATTCGAACTCGAGACCTTACTTAAACGATATCAAACTACTTATCACTTGAACCAACCCATATTAATTTTTATACTTTATAGCCTTTAAGTTTCATTAACTTATTTAAGGCATTAAACAAATTATTTAAAGAAAAAAACAAAGGAAATAATGAAGGGAAAATATTAATTTTATGGATTTAAAATTATAAAAGAAAATGTATATATCATTTTCAGTAAAATATTAATGCAACGGTAGTAATAGCAGTAACAGTTACCAATTTAATAGCCATACCAACGATGTACTTTCATTGTTGTTATTTTATAATTTTGATTTTTATTAATTATATTATATTTTTTTGTATATGTTATATGAGTGAATAAAAATATTTTTTATAATAATATTTACTATACTTAAAGTATAAAAATAATTGTTTTCTAATTAAATTAATGTTAAAGTAAATCAACGGTATTGATTCAAATAATAAGCTGCTTGATCTCTCTTAAGTAAGGTCTCATGCTTAAGTCCTTGTGTATGCATAAAATCCCCGTTGAGAAACTCACCCACCAAATCAGGTGTGCAACCCGGATATGTCCAAAAGGGTAACAAAAAAAATTAATGTTAAAGTAACTTGTAATATCAAAGAATAAGTGTAGATTTATTATATATGTAGCATTAAGAGTGTGACAACTTAATCAATAAAATGTAAATTTAACGACAAAAATGAAATATCAAATGCTTTTATTTTACTTAAAACTTCGTTTTTCTTTATATATAAAAAAATTCCATGCAATTTTTCTTTCGCTGAAAAAGTGCATTCGCATGGATTCATGGACAAGGCAAAGCCAGCGTATATACCGGTTTTGTCGAAACGATTTTTAAACGGGTGGGGGAGCGAGATTTTAGAAACCGCATCATTTTAATTAGGATTGATTTTTTAATTAAAAACAGTGCGATTTTAGAAAACCTCTCGTTTCGAAAAATTGGAAATTCCTTTACGATAAAATATAAGGTTCGAGGAGTCGCCACCAATCTTTGATTAGGGTGTGATTGGGCACCCAAAAACATTGTCATTTTAAATAAAAATTAATTTTAATTAAAACGGAAAAATTTACGGTCTACGTTACCAAAATCCAAGTTCGAGAGTCGGTTACGCGTGGGGAAGGATTAGCACCCCCACAACGCCCTAAATCGGTACCTAGTTGATTAATTAATTTCTTTGCAACGAATTTCGTAAGTTCAAATTTAATTTGATTAATGATCCCTTTAAACAACAAAAATGCAAATTTGCAACATTCAAAGCAACAAAATAGATTTAATTTAAAATTACCAAGTCATTAGAAAGATAAAGAATATTCGATTATTTAAAAATATCAAGACCAGATCTTTAGTTCAGTTCTAACGACCTTTTCTCGAAAAGTTTAAATAGTCGAATATTTCCTTTTCTTTCGCTCCCAAATTTTACTATGATATATCCAAATTTAATTAGGCGTTACTGACGGGATACAATTTTAATTTAAAATTGTCAAAACAACTCTCTAATAAGTTAAGAGAAGCCATTCCGACAGTTTTAAATTAAAAATATATTACCCTTAATCCAATTATGTAACAAGAGTCGAGTCATGCACGTGAGGCTATCATGCGAATCATACAAAGTGATGTTAATGTAAAGATTAATTAAACATGCGATTAAAGTAAATGAGGCTAATCATGCTTTAAAAAGAAATACACCTAAGTGCGTATGGACAACATGCTCGAAATAATATACACATGCAACATACAAATAAACTACGCTTGACTCTATGCGTATGGACAAAAATGCTCGAAATAATATACGCATGCATATATTTAAAATAAATCTAAATTAGCCTAACAAACATGCATAAAATATTAAAAGGACTAAAACATAAAAAATAAATAACAAGTTTTTTCATAACATTTTCATTTTTGGGTACTGCAAACATAATACAACCAAAATACTGCAAATGACCAAATTGAAAGTTTCTCAAATTACACATCCAATGCCTAAACAACATTAAAATGGCCCTAACATGGTTCTGGACTAAGATGTAACACGCTGAAAATTAAGATACAAACTTAGAATTGTAACAAAGCTCGGTTCAGGGATTGAAATAGGACAAAACAAAATTGGGATGACCACACTCACAATTACCCCCCCTAGCAAAACACAGTAGACTCCAGCTTCATGAAACGCAACCGTTTCAAACCATCAGGGAACGACGCCGTTTTGACATATGGGATAATAGGGTAAGTCCTATACCTAATTTCATTTTCTCTTCTCATCATAAACCAAACAGAAGAGCCCCAGCCGTTTTCTCTCATCTCTCCTTCTTCAACCTTCAAACCCCAGACGAAGCATGGCCAACGCCGTGGCCACCGCCGTCTAATGGCTCCGATGAGGAGCCGAGACGTCCTCTAAACTTCCTCCGACGACACCCCTTCAAATACCAACCTAAACCAGCGATCTAAGCCCAAACTAAACTTGAAAACCCGACCGGCTTCACCCTCTAGTAACCTCACAACACTACGGCCACCGTGACCTTTCCCCTCTCTGGAGGACTCCGATGAGAAGTCAAACCCTCACAACCCTGAACCCCTAGTTCGAGCCTCCTTGGTGAAAACTAGGCCCCCCAAAACCTAGGTTCTAGCCGAGTCATGAACCCTAACAAACTAAACCCACCGCCACCGTGACTTCAAGGACTCTGATAAGGAGTCAAACCATTACCCAAACCGACCCTCATCACGAACCAAACTTCCAGAAACCTTTGAATACCCACAGTTTGAAACCTAAAACAAACATGCATGACTCTAGAGGTGACTCCAGAGCAAATCGAAGGTAAAGAGTTTACCTTCTCCTAGACGGGGTCCTGATTCCTAGCGAAGACGACGAAAGTTAAAAGGTAACCTTTCGTTTGCCACTATTCTCTCCTTTCTACGGATGGGTCCCGGTTTTTGTTGGTTCTTTGGTTGATAATGGCTGGTTCTTTTTTCCTTTTTGCTGTTCTTCCCTGTTGCTGATGACTGAGAGTCCCCTCTACTCTCCTTTTCTTTCGTTTTTTTTTGTTCCCTCGTTCATCCGCCCCCCTTTCTTCTTCTTTGGTCCCTCTCTATATCTATTTTTTTGTTGTTGGTTTTCTCTCCTCGATTTCTCCGTGCCTCTCGTTCTGCTTCTTGTTTCGTGTGTTTGCAGGGCACTGGCGAGAGCAGATCACGGGCAGCAGCTGTGGGGAGGTGAGCTATTGTCCGGTTGGGCGTGCGTGATCTGATAGCAGGGTTGGCTTCACGTGAGACTGCAGCTGGCTCGGGGATTGCTGGGAGTTGGGAACCGTTGGATCTTGAATCCAGATCCAACGGCCTTCAATGATACGGTGCTGGAGGCTGTGACAGGGAACCCTAACGGGTTTAGGTTTTCTAGAGTTGGGCCCATAACAACCGGGCTGTTGTGTTTTTCATTGGTTCAAGCCTGTTTGGTTCGGCCTGTAACAAAAATGGAAATATTTAGTGCATATTTTATATATTTAATTATTTAATTATTTAACTATTTAATTACTTATCCGCATATATATATATATATATATATATTAATAACTACATAATACCAAACTTATAATAATAACCAAAATAACAATAATAAAACCCGAATTAAACTCAAATAATCCCGGACAAATCGAGCATCTACAGCTGCCCCTCTTTGCTCATTGTTGTATAACGAGAATAGAGTAAAGATCAAAAGATGATCAAGTTTGTCCGACCATAAGAACTTTGATAGACTCATCCGCTCCACTCTTCCTCTAGGGTGAGTGAGAGTTGAAAAAATCTTTTGAAAACGGGTTCGCTCCCTCTTTCTCCCGGAGAATAGAACTGGGGCATCTTCAAAAACCGCGTCAGCTCCCCAGTCCTTCAGAGAGTATAGAACTCGAACATCTTCTTCTTACGGGTTCGTTCCCTCTTTATCTAGGGAGTATGGAACTCGAACGTCTTTAAACGGGTTCACTCCCTCTTTTTTCAGGGAGAATAGAACTCGAATATCTTCTTCAAACGAGTTTGCTCCCTCTTTCTCTAGGGAGTATAAGACTCGAACAATCTTCAACAATCGTGTCTGCTCCCTATTTCTTCAGAGAGTATGAGACTCGAATAATCTTCAATAATCGTGTCTGCTCCCTATTTCTTCAGAGAGTATGAGACTCGAACAATCTTCAACAATCGTGTCTACTCCCTATTTCTTCAGAGAGTATGAGACTCGAACAATCTTCAACAATCGTGTCTGCTCCCTATTTCTTCAGAGAGTATGAGACTCGAATAATCTTCAACAATCGTGTCTGCTCCCTATTTCTCCAGAGAGTATGAAACTCGAACAATCTTCAACAATCGTGTCTGCTCCCTATTTCTTCAGAGAGTATGAGACTCGAACAATCTTCAACAATCGTTGGGAAACCTGTAAATATTTAAGTCGTCATGCAATGTCATGATCCTATTCATGCCTAAAAGGTATGCAAATGTGCAATTTAATGCATTTTCTTCTTCGAAGGAACATCATCTCTTTTGATTTCAATGGAACTCGATTTCGTTTCGGGTACAGAGCATTTGACCCGTTCACCCCAGCTAACACTCTCAATACCATATCTTTTGGCTCGACAGGACTTTGACTTCTTTCTTTCTTGAAACCTGCCGATACACATGACCAACTTCTTGATAAATGATAATTTCTTTGGGTCATCTATTAATGGTTAAGATTGTCTATGAATTCCAAAGTTTTAGCTTTTCGCAACCCTACAAGCTTATGGGTAAAACCATTGCTAGCTTCAGAATACCTGCATTTCCAAAACCTTTTGCATAATAATACAAAATGATCTCATGTACCACAAGTTAAGCTATGCGTTTTAACTTTTTCAAAATTAGATGCTTGTAAAAGGGAAATTAAGAAGGTAAAATATCTCTTTATTTATATAAATGCGAAGAATTTTTAGGCAACTACATGACAAACTTTTAATCGGAAAAGAACCAAAGGATAGGTGTCTTCAAATATCAATAACACAAATGCTTTTGAACTGGCACGCCGTCAGAATGACTCGAGTGTAGCTTCTGTCAAAAGGATCTCCAAAATGGTGATGACACCTAAGAGTGAAAAACTCTTTCTGAACCCCAAAATCTCCCATTATTAGATGCCATAAACCAATATTAAATCTCACGTGCATTCAATTCCTCCTCTGGTTGTCCCCATCGAGACTCATTAATCTTTGGTCTCAACCCCCATGGCCATTGTCGTTACCCATGTCAGGAGCTCTTCCTACTCCCCAAAACAATTCAGATCCTCCACCATACACGAACTCTGAATTTAAAACTCAAGTCGCCCTTTGCGGGTTTTCGACTCGACCTCCTTTGGTTTCAAGACGCCCTTTTCGAGTTTTCATCTTGAACCCTCATTTTTTCATTCATTTTTAATTTTTTTATTATATTTTTTCACTCATTTTTCTTCTTCTTTTTCTTCAAGCAAAATACTTCTTAACTGCGTCAGAATTCACTGGATAAGGTAATTCAGACCCATCCATCTCAGTTAAGACTAGAGCTCCCCCAGAGAAGGCTTTCTTGACAACATAGGGTCCTTCCCACTTGGGCATCCATTTCCCTCGGAAATCTTTTTGAATGGGCAATATCCTCCTGAGCACCAAATCTCCTTCGTGGATTTCTCGAGGGCGAACTTTCTTATCATGTGCGCGTATCATCCGCTTCTGGTATATCTGACCGTGACAAATAGCCTTCAATCTCTTTTCTTCAATCAGATTCAATTGGTCATATCTGGCCTGTACCCATTCTGCCTCATTTAGCTTCACCTCCGATAAAACCCGGAGCGAGGGAATTTCCACTTCAATAGGGAGGACAGCTTCCATCCCATAAACTAGAGAAAACGGAGTTGCCCCAGTTGACGTCCGTACAGAAGTCCGATTGGCAAACAAAGCAAATGGAAACTTCTCATGCCAATCCTTATAATTTTCAGTCATCTTCTCTATAAGCCTCTTAATGTTCTTATTAGCCGCCTCCACTGCCCCATTCATCTTTGGGCGATAAACCGTGGAATTATGATGCTTTATTTTGAATTGCTCACATACAGATTTCATCATCTTGTTGTTTAAGTTCAATGCATTGTCAGAGATAATTCTCTCTGGTAAGCCATATCTGCAGATGATTTCCTTCTTCAAGAACCTACATATCGTTGACTGGGTAACACTTGCATAGGAAGCTGCTTCTACCCACTTGGTGAAGTAATCTATTGCTACCAAAATGAAGCGATGACCATTTGACGCTTTCGGAAAAATTTGCCCAATAACATCCATGCCCCACATAGAAAACGGCCACGGAGCTGTCATCACATGCAACGGATGAGGAGGGGTGTGCATTCTATCCCCATAAATCTGACACTTGTGACACTTTCGGGCATAATTGATGCAATCAGTTTCCATAGTTGACCAATAATACCCAAATCTCATAATCTGTCTGGCCATTACATGCCCATTAGCATGGGTGCCACATATTCCTTCATGTACTTCTTCAAGAATCATTTTCGCTTCTTTAGTGTCCACACACCTTAATAAGACCTGATCCATGCTTTTCTTATATAAGGTCTCATCATTAAGCACATACCCTGCTGCCATTCTTCTAATGGTTCTTTTGTCATTCTCAATTGCCTGTTCGGGGTAACTTTGATATCTTATATACTGAAAGATATCATAGTACCAAGGTCCTCCATCATCTTCTTCTTCAATGTTAAAGCAGTGGGCTGGATACTCATAAGCCTTCATCTCAATAGGCATCATACTTGAATGCTCGTTCATCTTAAAGGCCGCTGCCAAAGTAGCCAAGGCGTCTGCCATTTGATTTTCTTCTATGGGGAGGTAATTGAAAGTCACTTCTTCAAATTCTTCAATAAGTCCCAGAACTAGTTTACGATATTCCACAAGTTTGGGACCTTTCGTTTCCCATTCACCTCTGAGCTGGTAAATTACCAAAGCTGAATCCCCATATACCCTCAGCATTTTTGCTTTGAGTTCAATAGCTGCTCTAAGACCCATAACACAAGCCTCATATTCAGCCATATTGTTTGTACAATCAAAATTGAGCCGACTGGTAAAAGGATAATGCTCTTCACTTGGTGAGACCAAGATTGCCCCAATCCCATGCCCCAAGGCGTTTGAAGCACCATCAAAGTTCATCTTCCAGTATTTACCGGTGAGCGCAACTGTTTCTTCCTCCGAGATAGCCATTAAATCCTCATCTGGAAAATCGAAGTTCAACTGTTCATATTCTTTTGAAGCCCTACTCGCAATGAATTCTGCTATGGCGCTCCCTTTAACTGCCTTCTGGCTTACATACTGGATATCAAATTCGGACAACAGGATTTGCCAACGGGCTAACCTTCCAGACAATGCAGGTACCCCCATTAGATACTTTAAAGGGTCCAGCTTAGATATGAGCCAGGTAGTATGATACAACATATACTGTCTAAGTCTTCTGGTAGCCCACACTAAAGCGCAACACAATTTTTCAATTGGTGAGTATCTGGCCTCACACTCAGTGAACTTCTTACTGAGATAGTAGATAGCCCTCTCCCTCTTCTCAGTTTGATCATGTTGCCCCAACACACATCCCATTGAATTGTCATAAACGGACAAGTAAAGAATTAAAGGCTTTCTTGGGATAGGTGGCGCTAGGATCGGAGTATTCGAAAGATATCTCTTTACTGCCTCAAAAGCCTCTCGGCAATCCTCACTCTATTCTCCTGAATCATTCTTACGAAGAAGGCGGAATATGGGATCACATCTTTCAGTCAGCTGCGAGATAAACCGAGCGATGTAATTTAATCTCCCCAAAAATCCTCGAACCTCTTTCTGTGTTCTTGGGGCTGGCAAATCTTGAATGGCTTTTACTTTATCGGGATCTATTTCAATTCCCTTTCGGCTCACTACGAATCCCAACAGTTTTCCCGATGTCACCCCAAAAGTACACTTATTTGGGTTAAGTTTTAGTTGGCACTTCTTTAATCTTTGAAAGAGCTTCCTCAAATTCTCGATATGTTCCTCCTCCGTCTTGGCTTTGACAATCATATCATCGACATAGACTTCAATTTCTTTATGCATCATGTCATGAAACAACGTCACCATGGCCCTCTAATAGGTTGCCCCTACATTCTTTAATCCAAACGGCATGACCTTATAGCAAAACGTCCCCCACATAGTGACAAACGTTGTTTTCTCCATATCTTCAGGGTACATTTTAATTTGATTATAGCCGGAGAAACCATCCATAAATGAGAATAAGGAATTTCCAGCAGTATTGTCCACTAACGTATCTATATGTGGCAAAGGAAAATTATCCTTTGGACTAGCTCTATTCAGATCTCTATAGTCGACACACATTCGTACCTTCCCATCCTTCTTTGGTACTGGGACAATATTTGCTACCCACTCAGGATATTTGGCCACTGTGAGAAACCCAACATCAAATTGTTTCTTCACTTCTTCTTTAATCTTGAGCAGCATCTCGGGTCTCATTCTTCTCAGTTTCTGTTGTACGGGCTTACAATCAGGCTTTATCGGTAATTTATGGACAACCAATTCTGTATCCAGCCCTGGCATGTCCTCGTACGACCAAGCAAATACATCCTTGAATTCTTGAAGTAATTCTATCAAGCTTTGCCTTCCTTCAGCAGACAGGGTGGTACCAATCTTTACTTCCTTTCTATCCTCATCTGTGCCCAGGTTCAAGATCTCTGTAAGCTCTTCGTGAGGCAGAATCTGTTCATCTTCCTGTTCCACCATCTTTAGTAATTCTGAGGGTGGTTCACATCCCTCCTCATCATCACAACCTTCGATTTCCCCTTGACATATGGGCATCTCAAAATCAATCTCCGGGTCAGAGTCATTAGCATTCGTATTATTGATATCTGAGTTCCTGAAAGGATAACGAAAAAGAAGATATATATACATATATACATATGGGAGAATCTTTTCCCATATAAACAAATAGAAAGAAATAATATATGCGTATATTCAAACAAAAATGCATGAGGAAATGTTTGCCATTTGGGAATTAACAAAACACATCTTTTATTGAAAGCAAGTAAAAACACACAACTTAACCCTTTACATCAAATCACCTACTGTCCCAGGGTATGAACAATAGGGAAGAGTTCTAGTGTATTACTCTGCAAAAGATTTGTAAACTACAGGCAATTCCTCCGCAGTCCAGTTGTTCAACACAAAGCCCAGTGGCGCAGGGTAAATGCCCGTAGCTCTCATTTCTTTGAACTCCTCATCGGTTATGACATTAATGCCCAAGTCCTCCAAGGCATTCTCAACTATCACTTTACTGCTTTCCAAAGTCCCTTGAAACATATATCCTCCTGATACGAAAATGCTGCTCAATGGCGGGAATGTCATGGGCTCCCAGCTTGAGTCCTCACCAGTCAATCTTGCCTTTCTCAATTCCTGAATCTTCTTGATGCTTCTCAGTTTTTCTTTTAAAGTCGGCTGATACCCTAAACCGAACCTGTCTCTTTTAGTTACAGGGTAGATTGGGCCCACCAATCCTTGCAACCGACGTCCAAACCCTTTGCCAGTTTTTGCTCCTCTTCCAAGAGTCAGCTTAAGCCCCATTTTGGTGCAGTTTGACAATCTAGGCTTCGGGATCTTCTTTCCTTCTGCCACAAACATGGCATTGATATATTCTAACGATCTGAAAGAACATTCAACAGCTTGCTCTTCCACTTCAACGTATGGAGCAGTAGTAGAAACCGAAGCAATAATGTCTTCTTCAGCATGAATGCATATAAGCCTCCCATCAATTGCAAATTTTATCCTTTGGTGCAACGTTGACGGAACCGCACCGGCCTGATGAATCCAGGGCCTTCCCAATAAACAGTTGTATGTAGGCATGATGTCCATCACAAGAAAATCCACTTCGTATATCGCCGGGCCAATAGTCAAAGGGATATCAATCTTGCCTAGAACTTCTCTCTTCGTTCCATCAAAAGCTCGAACCACAGTTTGACAGCTTCTCATCAGGGTGCTATCTACTGGCAGTTTTTTCAGGGTCACCAAGGGCATCACATTTAACGCCGAACCGTTATCTATCAGTACTCTGGATAGAACATGCCCTTTGCACCTAACTGTGATGTGTAGGGCCTTATGATTGCCAATCATCCCAGAAGGGATCTCGTCCTCAGAAAAAGATAAAAAATTATCGGCCTGGATGTTGGCAACTAGTCGGTCCAGCTTTTCTGTGGGTATCTCCTTCGGGACAAAGGTTTGGTTTAAAACTTTTAACAGGGCGTTGCGATGAGCCTCTGAACTCAGAAGAAGTGATAGGACAGAAATACGGGCAGGCAGCTTGTGCAGTTGCTCAACAATACTGTATTCACTATGTTTCAAAAATTTTAAAAATTCCATCGCTTCATTCTCCGTTACTGGCTCATTGACGATGGGTTCATCTTCTCTTATCTGCACATCGATACTTTTTCCTTTCTCGACAGCAATCTTTTTCTCAGGTTCTTTGTGATAACATCTACCACTCCTGGTCATGTGTCCCACTTCATCTACCTCTTCCTGTTGCTTTGTCACCTCTCCTATTTGACAAGTATATCTCCAGGGTACCTGTTTATTGTCTTTGTACGGGAACGGAGAGGGAGGTGTAATAATCACCTTTGGATCTACCTTCCCAGCCACTCGATTCTTGGGAGTAATGACGAGGGGACAACTAGCACTATAGACCCCTTTGGATGATCCCTCAGAGGCATAAATTTCCGCTTCTTCTTTCTCAGCCATTTCTTTGAAGAACTCGATTTCCTTACTATCCATCATCTCTTGTACCAGCCCTAAGAAATCAGAACACTGTTGTATACTGTGTCTCGTGCAGTTATGGTAGTGGCACATCTCTTCATTGTTGAACTGTTTACATGGCAGATTAGTCTTTAATAGTCCTACCTTGACCATTTGGCACCACACCCAAGACATGGGTGACATCACCTCACTAATATTTTTTACAGTCATTCTTCCTTTCTCTTCAACGACTGTATTAATCCCGGCTCCTGCATGGTTTGGCAATGGATTCTGGGCTATGTTTGGCTGTTCACTGTCACCAAAATTGATGACGTTTCTTCTCCTCAGAGCTTGGACGACCTTTTTGAAAGCGGGACAATTTTCAATAGAATGTCCAGAAACCCCTGCATGGTATTCACACTTAGCACTAGCATCATACCACTTGGGATACGGGGGTTGTATAGGGTCCACATGATAAGGTGAGACTACATGTCGATCATATAATTCGTGGAATAACTTCTTATAAGTCATAGGAATCGGATCAAATTGAGGCCTCTCTCTCCTTGGATCTCTTGCCCCTTGTCTATTGTCAATTTGGGGTGATGCTACCGTTCCCTGTGGTCTGGACACTGTGATATTATGGGAATCATATTGCCTTATGTTGCTGACTTCGTTTTCCTTCTTCCTCATCGGCTGTTTCTTGCTGGAATCTCCTCCCTCAAGCTTCCCGCTTTTAATCGCCATTTCAATCATTTCTCCCGCCGTAACTATATCAGCAAAACTTCGAGAAGGATTACCAACAAAATGTGAGAAAAATGGAGCCTTCAAGGTATTAACAAAAAGTAGGTTCGTTTCCTCCTCTACCAACGGTGGGTGGACTTGTACTGCTACCTCTCTCCACCTCTGAGCATATTGTCTGAAACTTTCACTATGCTTTTTCTCCATTGCTTGTAGCACAATTCTGTTAGGCCTGACGTCCTTCACATGCTTATACTGGTCAAGAAAAGATTTGGCCAGGTCTTTCCACGTCCTGACATCAACTCTCCTTAGTTGATTATACCATCGCAATGCTGAGCCTACTAAGCTTTCCTGGAAACAGTGGATCAACAGCTGGTCGTCCCCTACGTAACCAGTCATTTTCCTGCAGAACATTGTGATATGGGCAGAAGGGCATTGGGTACCGTCGTATTTCTCGAAGTCAGGAGTTTTGAACTTGGGAGGTAGGACCAGATCAGGAACTAAACTCAGTTCCTTAGCGTCGAGACCATACAAGCTGGTATCTTCTTTCATAGCTTGTACTTCATTTGCTAGCTGCTTATATTGCTCCTGCAACAACTTGTTTTCGCTCTTTTTTGCTTCTTCATCAAGGTCCGGGACCTAGTGATATGGGCTTTCTTCGGGATGCGAACAAGATCCCGGTTGTGGATTAACTGCAATGCCGTCAGGATTTATGTGTACTTTGGTATGAATAGATGTTCCTTGGATATTCGGAGACTGTACCGGGGTAAACCCTGGAGGGTAAAGTGGTTCTTCACTTGTTTGCTCATGGGCCTTTCCGTGCTCTGGATTTCTCCCTCCCAGCATATTTGCCAACTTAGACAACATATCCTCTTGAGCCTTAAGCATATCTTCTTGCATTTTCCTTAGATCATCTTGCAATTGCAGTTGAGTTCTTTCAATTTGAGCAATCTTATCATCCATGGCCTTCCTTGTGTTATAGTGATGCTTGAAATTTCCCAGTATTCTGTAATGTATCCCTTATTGTTAATCTTAATGCTTTGAGGATGAATGCAAATTATGTAAAGTGTGATAAAGAATGCAACACAAAACTTAAATTGCAAATAAAATGCAAATGCATGTAGAAAGGCATTGATTCATAAGACGCGATCAGTCTTAGAACAACTTTCATTTAGGACAAAAGCATCATCTTTACAAGAAAAGTCCATTACAGAAATGGCCTAGCTCTCATGTTCAGCTCTACTATCTGATTGACAAGCCAATCGACCCTCTTTCCTACGCCTGATGCTGGATTGGTATAGCTCTGGATGACTTTTGCTTGGAGGTCCATCTCTCCCAACTGCCTCGCAACGCCGCTTAACTGATTCATGGTCTCTCGAATCACGTGATTCACGTTTGTATTCCAGTCTCTAAAGTGATCGTTTGAGTTTTGCCATTGCAGTCTGGTGCCTTGGACGGTGCGCTCGAGACCAGCGATTTGTGTCTGGCAGCTTCGTAAGGCAGCCTCTAAATCATGAATCTTCTTTTGCAAAGCAGCGTTCTCCTCGAGGCTAACCCTTTGATCCAATGGGCAACGCTGACTGTTTTCTGCAGATAAGGAACTTTCAAGCTGCATAACGTAGGCATTGTACTCTTCATTCTTTGCCTTGGCTCGAGCTAACTCTTCCTCATGCCTTGATTCCATTTCATGCATCTCTTGATTGAGTACCTCTATCCGTTCGTTCTTTGCTCCGCACCTCTTTATCCAGAGGAATACTTCATCCTGTTTTCCTTGGAGCACACTCTCCCGATGTTGCCTTTCTAACCTCAAGTTCAAGTTGCATGTTATTTGCCTTCATTCTGAGTTCTTCAATATTAGCATGCAATTCTTCTTCTCGCTTCTTGCTCAAGGTGTACCTTTGTCTTAACTCTTTAGCCTCTGTCCTTTCGCTCTTCAGTGCTCTAACCCAGGACCTTCTCTCGGACTCAAGTTCTTGATTTCTTTTCTTCTTCTCTGTCTCTACTTCTCTAACTCGGTGCTCTCTCTCGGCTCTGACGTCTCTAACTCGACGATCCCTCTCAGCCCGGAGCTCTAACCGCCACTGCTCTGAAGTTCTCCCGAGGCCAGCAATTGCCCGTGCTCGACTCATCTTTTGGTAATCGCTCTGTAAACTAGTGAGATTGGCCTCCACTTCATCCTTTCTCTTGCGCATAAGCTCAAACTGTGTATTATAGAACCCCCTATCGATGTCCAACATGAAATTCTTTTGTCTAAGGGCCTCACACTCTGCTTCCTTCCTGGCGATTTTCGCTTCGAATTCACTCTTCAGTATCTCCAACTTAGACGGTACGTATTTAAACTGTGCTTCCAAAGGAATTGTTTGGTCACGATCCGCCAACGGAAGGATATCATTCTTTCGCACCGCCCTCCATGCCACGTAATCTGGTGTCAGCATGACCTCAGCTGCTATGAAATCAGTTCTAAAGGTTGACTTCCACGCCTCTGACATTGCACGAGCAGTCTTCTTGTAGTGATTTCCACAGTACACAAATTCAGATGCCTTCAGACCGGATGTAGCTGGGACGAATTGGCGTGCCCCAAATTGCCTCAGTACCATCAGTGCCGCATAACCTACTCTACCCCATAACCCTAATAGGGTTACCCAATCAGAATCCCCGCATTTGTACAACACATCCACAAAAGCTAACCAGGGGACACGCCACACTATATCATGCTCCTGTAAATTTCTGAAGAGTGAAACCCAATCCTTCCTGGTGAGATGCTCTGGCCACTCTTTAGTGAGGAAATCTTTTAAGGGTGAATAGGCCGTAGAAAACCGTCGACTATACTCTCGGTCAATTTTCCAGAAGTGACTGCGTATCCAAACAGTAAGCAACTGGACACACCCGGTGAAGCGGCTACTCTCAGCTCTTCTGCAACTGCTAAGTGCTCTGAATGTTTCGGCCAAAATCGCAGGAATAGGGTTTACCTTCCTTTCCAAACACTCGAATAAATCGACCACTGCGGCTTCCACGTGATAAAGAACTTTCGGGAAAATCATCAAACCATAAATTCCCAAGGCGAACATCTATATGCTCTTCTCAATATCGCTATGCTTGACGATAAGCTCCTTGAGGTATGACCAAGGGAAGCAATCGGACTCTCCCTTCCTTTGGATTCGATCAGCAACCCACTTCTCTCCCATCCCAGTAATCCTTGCGAGCTTGCTCTTAAAGGATTGTGTCCTTGAGGCTTTTGAGTAGATTCGGTCCAAGTGTATCGTCTCGAAATGAAACAAGGAGGTGTATTCTTCTAACGTGGGAGTCATGTCTTCCTTGTTGAAAGTGAAGCAGCTATATGCGGGATTCCAAAACTGGATGAGAGCTTTGATTAGGGGTTCGTTTACTTTCACGTACAATAGAAGGGCGATGTCACCATACTTTTGCCAGAAAGAGTATTTCACATCAGAATTTCAACTTTCCCAAATTTCGCATAACTCTTGCAAATCGTTTTTCTTTAGACTGACCGGAGCAACCTCTAGTAGTACTGATATGTAATCTTCAGTCAAACTGTCACCTTTCTTCCTCTAAGTTTCCTCGGACCACGACCTCACTTCTGCGTTATCCACTTCCTTGTTATGAAAGCTCTTGTCCATTTTATGACCGCCTTCTACTTTTATGACCACCTTGTGAATCAACACCTTTCTTCATGAATGATGATGCAATGCAGCAGTAATAAATAAAACACAAAACACAAACAAAAATAAAACTGTGTTAGTATATACAATGAATAGTCGAAGAATACATAAACAACATGGAGATAGAAAATATATACATCTTAAACCTTATTCACATGATATCTACCCAACATGATATCTACCCAATCATGCTTTAGTAGATCCTACCCAACATGGTATCTACTCTCAGGTTTCGTTATTCACAAAAAATCCTAACCGCATGGTATCTAATTCACATGCTTGCTCAAAAAATAAACCTGACCACATGATCTCTAGTTCGCATACTTTTTGCAAAAATAAATAAATTCGAGGAAAAGATTAGAATGAGTTTCCCCTCCATGTTTGTGGACAGAGATTTAGCATAGGACGGGCAGAGTTCTGGTATCACTAAAAGGGTCCTCGAATTGTCCTTTGCTGGTGCCCCCTTGAACTTGCCAGACCCTCGATCCTCACCCATTATAGGCTTAAAACGGATCAAGTTCAATTTCGAGAGGATACATTTCCCTATGTCCATGCGAGGAAACTCAATGTTTTCTCGTAGACATAAGGCATGTACCCCAGAGGTTACTAGCTAAAGCCCGTGCGGAGAAAAATAATTTTTCTCACGTAAGCGTAACTTTCACCCCTACTTAATGGGACAGAGCACAGTTAGAAGGCTCTGAATATTGAAGGTTTAGCAACAGTGGGGAAACTCATAATCCTTTGCCTCGATCCAAGAAACTCAACAAACTAAAGGTTAGAAAACTGAAACATGTAGATCACACGTTAGTACAACTATTTATTTGTAAACCAAATCACAAATAAAAATGAAAACAAGAAATTCAACACAAACAAGGGATCAAAAACCAAATTAAAATGAACTTATAACTTTTGTTTGCAAAGACCATTAATTAATCGACCATCGGCTTGACTCTCTAAAAAAAAGTCCCCAGCGGAGTCGCCAAGCTGTCGAAACGATTTTTAAACGGGTGGGGGAGCGAGATTTTAGAAACCGCATCATTTTAATTATGATTGATTTTTTAATTAAAAACAGTGCGATTTTAGAAAACCTCTCGTTTCGAAAAATTAGAAATTCCTTTACGATAAAAATATAAGGTTCGAGGAGTCTCCACCAATCTTTGATTAGGGTGTGATTGGGCACCCAAAAACATTGTCATTTTAAATAAAAATTAATTTTAATTAAAACGGCAAATTTACGGTCTACGTTACCAAAATCCAAGTTCGGGAGTCGGTTACGCGTGGGGAAGAATTAGCACCCCCACAACGCCCTAAATCGGTACCTAGTTGATTAATTAATTTCTTTGCAACGAATTTCATAAGTTCAAATTTAATTTGATTAATGATCCCTTTAAACAACAAAAATGCAAATTTGCAACATTCAAAGCAACAAAATAGATTTAATTTAAAATTACCAAGTCATTAGAAAGATAAAGAATATTCGATTATTTTAAAATACCAAGACCATATCTTTAGTTCAGTTCTAACGACCTTTTCTCGAAAAGTTTAAATAGTCGAATATTTCCTTTTCTTTCGCTCCCAAATTTTACTATCATATATCCAAATTTAATTAGGCGTTACTGACGGGATACAATTTTAATTTAAAATTGTCAAAACAACTCTCTAGTAAGTTAAGAGAAGCCATTCCGACAGTTTTAAATTAAAAATATATTACCCTTAATCCAATTATGTAACAAGAGTCGAGTCATGCACGTGAGGCTATCATGCGAATCATACAAAGTGATGTTAATGTAAAGATTAATTAAACATGCGATTAAAGTAAATGAGGCTAATCATGCTTTAAAAAGAAATACACCTAAATGCGTATGGACAACATACTCGAAATAATATACACATGCAACATACAAATAAACTACGCTTGACTCTATGCGTATGGACAAAAATGCTCGAAATAATATATGCATGCATATATTTAAAATACATCTAAATTAGCCTAACAAACATGCATAAAATATTAAAAGGACTAAAACATAAAAAATAAATAACAAGTTTTTTCATAACATTTTCATTTTTGGGTACTGCAAACATAATACAACCAAAATACTGCAAATGACCAAATTGAAAGTTTCTCAAATTACACATCCAATGCCTAAACAACATTAAAATGGCCCTAACATGGTTCTGGACTAAGATGTAACACGCTGAAAATTAAGATACAAACTTAGAATTGTAACAAAGCTCGGTTCAGGGATTGAAATGGGACAAAACAAAATTGGGATGGCCACACTCACAATTACCCCCCCAGCAAAACACAGTAGACTCCAGCTTCATGAAACGCAACCGTTTCAAACCATCAGGGAACGACGCCGTTTTGATATATGGGATAATAGGGTAAGTCCTATACCTAATTTCATTTTCTCTTCTCATCCTAAACCAAACAGAAGAGCCCCAGCCGTTTTCTCTCATCTCTCCTTCTTCAACCTTCAAACCCCAGACGAAGCATGGCCAACGCTGTGGCCACCGCCGTCTAATGGCTCCGATGAGGAGCCGAGACGTCCTCTAAACTTCCTCCGACGACACCCCTTCAAATACCAACCTAAACCAGCGATCTAAGCCCAAACTAAACTTGAAAACCCGACCGGCTTCACCCTCTAGTAACCTCACAACACTACGGCCACCGTGACCTTTCCCCTCTCTGGAGGACTCCGATGAGAAGTCAAACCCTCGACAACCCTAAACCCCTAGTTCGAGCCTCCTTGGTGAAAACTAGGCCCCCCCCCAAAACCTAGGTTCTAGCCGAGTCATGAACCCTAACAAACTAAACCCACCGCCACCGTGACTTCAAGGACTCTGATGAGGAGTCAAACCACTACCCAAACCGACCCTCATCACGAACCAAACTTCCAGAAACCTTTGAATACCCACAGTTTGAAACCTAAAACAAACATGCATGACTCTAGAGGTGACTCCAGAGCAAATCGAAGGTAAAGAGTTTACCTTCTCCTAGACGGGGTCCTGATTCCTAGCGAAGACGACGAAAGTTAAAAGGTAACCTTTCGTTTGCCACTATTCTCTCCTTTCTACGGATGGGTCTCGGTTTTCGTTGGTTCTTTGGTTGATAATGGCTGGTTCTTTTTTTCCTTTTTGCTGTTCTTCCCTGTTGCTGATGACTGAGAGTCCCCTCTACTCTCCTTTTCTTTCGTTTTTTTTGTTCCCTCGTTCATCCGCCCCCCTTTCTTCTTCTTTGGTCCCTCTCTATATCTGTTTTTTTGTTGTTGGTTTTCTCTCCTCGATTTCTCCGTGCCTCTCGTTCTGCTTCTTGTTTCGTGTGTTTGCAGGGCACTGGCGAGAGCAGATCACGGGCGGCAGCTGTGGGGAGGCGAGCTATTGTCCGGTTGGGCGTGCGTGATCTGGCAGCAGGGTTGGCTTCACGTGAGACTGCAGCTGGCTCGGGGATTGCTGGGAGTTGGGAACCGTTGGATCTTGAATCCAGATCCAACGGCCTTCAATGATACGGCGCTGGAGGCTGTGACAGGGAACCCTAACGGGTTTAGGTTTTCCAGAGTTGGGCCCATAACAATCGGGCTGTTGTGTTTTTCATTGGTTCAAGCCTGTTTGGTTCGGCCTGTAACAAAATGGAAATATTTAGTGCATATTTTATATATTTAATTATTTAATTATTTAACTATTTAATTACTTATCCGCATATATATATATATATATATATATTAATAACTACATAATACCAAACTTATAATAATAACCAAAATAACAATAATAAAACCCGAATTAAACTCAAATAATCCCGGACAAATCGAGCATCTACAGGTTTTTAAGCTATTTGCCCAGTATACGACACCGAGCTTAGCATCATGATTCAGATAAATGTTAAATTATAGTATATATCTAATGTAAATATAGATTTTCTTTTTACATTTAAAATATTATAATTAATTGTACGAACCAACTTACTTCAATGGTTTATGAAATCGTTATCCTCCGGGTTATATCCTTAGAGAGAACAAGCTCAATGGCAATGAGAGAAAAGCAAAGGTAAGTGAGTGTACTCTACCCAAAGCTCTGAGTTTGGTGTCCCTGAAACGAATCCTGATCTTAGTTTTTGAGGGCAAGTGATGGAACTCATTAGAACAGTCAACTTTATGTAACAAGATAACTAAGATATGGTTTTAGTGTCGATGAGGACATCGACCAAAGTGGGTGGGGGAGAATGTCGGGGACATCTCATTTCCATGAGATTGCCCTGACCGTAACCCATTGGAGGGTCGAGTAGTTGCGACTGTGGAACAAGAAAAAGATTTAAGAATGAATATGGAGGGCCTGTCAAGGTAATGACCTCAGTGGTTTATGAAGTTGTTATTCCTAGAGGTTATTTGTTCGAGCACAAAGGACTGCAGCAGGGTGATTGAGGTTCATTCTCAAATAGTGAAAAGTACATAGAACATATATTACTTTACAATCATCCTAGTTTAATAAATAAAATTATAAATTTTTGAAAGATTTAAAGATAAAATAGTTTAAATTAAATAATTAAGTTTAATAAAGGTAATAAAATATAAAAAAATCAAACTTTTTAAATTCGTTTGATAAATTTAGTCGAATCGATTCTTAAATAAGTTTAATCAAGCTAATTTTGAATACTTTTAGGTCAAATTAATCAATTTAATTCCGAAATGAATAAGAAATAATTTGATCAAACTTATTAAATGTCATGGTTATTTTATATTATAATTCTATTATAGGGACGATTATTCTAACTCGATTTGATTCGTTCACAACATCAAGATTTAACATTCGCCTTTACTTAAGAAATTTAGTGCTCATTAGATCAAGTAATTACTGGTATTAAGTTGAGCAAGTTGATTTAATATAAAGTTGGTAGTTTTTATAAATATAATTATTAGTTTATAAGACGTTAAATATTATACGAGTCATATAATATCTATTGGTCGAATATTTTCTTTATGGCCTTCAAATTAGGCCCGTCCGATGACAATGCAGAAAGACTCCTATAACATTTTTCCTTGATCCGGTTAGGAACTATTATAATAAAAATTATTAATTTCCTAGCTAAATTTCTATTGGTCGAGTATTTTTTTATTAAGATAAGGTGATTAAAAAGTAATATATATTTTAAGTTCTCCTAAACATTTAACAATTAACTATCAATCATTCTCGTAGATTCTGATACTCAAACTCGAGAGATCTAAAAATAATAACGATTCTTTTAACTATGAGACATATATAAACCCTAATTCACTCTTCCACAAAACAGAACAATTTATTTTAAAATGTATAGATCCAGGTGAGTAGGGGAGGGATAAGAATTAATATAATTGTGCATATAGTTAAACTTTTAATTTTATAATTAATATTATTTTAAAATTTAATTATTTTTACATATAAAAATATAATTTATATTATCAAATATGATATTAAAAAATTATTACATAATTAGATTCTGCCAGTCAAATATGTATGAAAAATTAAGATAATAATTACATTTTGCATTTTTAAACAATTACACTATAATATCTAAATACGTCCTTAAAATTATTTCTATTCACATATATTTTAAAATGTTAATTGTAATTCATGATTTTTCTAATATGTTAATTTTATAGGTAAACTACATGCTTAATACCTAAACTATCACTTTTGTTCCGTTTTAGTACCTAAACTTTTAATTTTTTTCAAAACGATACCTAAAGTTTACATTTTGTTTCATTTTAGTAATCCCAGTTAAAAATTTAGGTATTAAAATGAAACAAAAAAGTAAATGTTGGGTATGATTTTGAAAAAAACAAAAGTTTAAGTACTAAAACGGAATAAAAGATATACTTTGGGGTACTAAACATGCAGCTTTCGACATTAATTCTCAGCTATCTCTAGCCACAAATGAAAGGTTAAGTGTTTAACTGTGTTATATTTACTCATATTTCTCTAAAACACTCGTGTTCGATATCAATATCAAATGTATATCTCACGTACTTGAATTAGACATATATACCCACACTCACCAGAACCTATAATTCACCAAAAGTTTAGTAGTGCTGCTATAGTTCTTAGCCCCCTCCTCTGGCGAGGAACAGAACGAGAGTACCTCCTAGACTTGTTTATTTTCGTCTTCACACCAGCAACCTTGTGAGCCAATGACTGCCATATCATTTGTACCGCGTCGCCTTCCTTCGATGGATACCGAAACTCGAAAAATGGCTCCACTTGTTTCAATCTCTCCCACATTCGGGTCCATTCATCCTACGTGATGCTGCGGATCCGGTTTATGAGGAACCCTTTTTTCACGGCGTCCAATGCCCGGATGAATATGCAGAATTCGGAGTAGTCGAGAACGTCTTCGTAAGGGAGTTCGATGTCGTCGCTGATGATGACCAGGACACAATGGCTGGCGATGGAGTTGAATAGGCGGTTCGACGACGGGGTGTCGCCGGCAATGTTTAGGCGGAACTTGGATGAATGCATACCTTGGCTTGCCTTGCGAATCCCATTACGTTGAACGCTCCCATATGAGAAATGTACGTCTTTCTCGTTTTTTAGAAGGAAAAACAAATCTTGCCTAGCAAATCCACCCTGCAATCAAGAAAGACATTAATTAAAAACCAAAATAGAAGTATGTGTTCGGAGAATATTAACAAACAACGGAAGGGGCACTTGCATCTTTCCTGTGTATGGCACCTTGGAAGAACAAAAGAGTTTTCCGGCTATCGAAATCGGACGAATCATTAACATAACTTCTGATTAAATGTTTGTAAGGCGCGATCACATCTTTATCGACATTCGCTATGTTGGTCGGATACCTTCCGAAATCGGAAAGTACGAAAATTGCAGGCCAAAGTTGCATCCTGGCATAAAGCATGCTATTGGGATGATGAGCCAAAACCACATGATTTCTCCCACCTGAAACTTTCCATTCCTTTTGATTCCTCAAAAACTTCACCAATTTGGCTTGCAATTCCCAGTTCTTGCTCTTCTTTTGAGGGCGAATCACCTTCGAATACCGATTGTAACTCAGCGATGAAAAGAATGGCACGAATATCAAATCAGCTTCACTTGAATTTTTCTCCCTGATGGCTTCTCGGGTGTTTGGATTCTCCGACAATTCTGAAGCCAAGAGGTCCAATGTCAGCCAGTATTCCATGCTGTGTTGTGAATTCAATGCACCTGGATACGGTGGGATTCTTGTTCTAATATCAGGCCAAATTTCGTTTCCTTGGGTTCTCCAATCCAATAACCCGATGTGAAACTCTGGGTCTAAATCGTACATGTAAATCTTCAATGATTCTTTCAAATTCCCATTGCAACTCACTTGGAACCCTCCTTCGTTGGGTTCGTTGTCTACGAGGATTGTTCGGTTCGAAGATTCGACGTTGCTTTGATCAGATGTTTGAGAATCGCCATTGTTGAACACAGCGGGAAGCTTATCGTCCGACATCGACTTTCGATCAAAGACAGCTTCTTGAAGTTAACACGAACATCACCGCTGTCGTTAAAAACGAGCAGAAGAAAGAAATCCTGGTGATGGGAGATCCCCTCTTTTCAGCCATGGAAAACAAAATCCAAGAAAATACGTATTCGATTTCCCGAGAATCTTTCTTTATCACGTCTTAATTGAATCCCATTGTGAATTCAAATCACTTATATGCAAGGCCATGGATTCAAAACCAAGACTTCTCTTTGGAAACACAAGAAATCGGCTGGCAAAAGGAAGCAAACAATGAAGGAAAAAAACAATCAAAATTCTCAGGAATTGAAGCAAACAATGGGAAGCAGTAGTTGTTTTGAATTTGATATTTGCGTGTTTGATCCAGTAAGCAATCAAAAGAGTTGAAACGATGTAACAGCGTGATAATAGTGTCCTTCGGAAGAAGCGGGTTTTAGTTTTTCTTTGCACTGCACTTCTAGTGGTGTTCTGGCTAACTGCCTATATATATATATATGGGTAAATTACAAATTTGATAACTGTACTTTATTCTCTCTCCTAGTTCACTCACTATACTTTAATTATTTTCGATTTTTTCATTAAACTTAATACATTTGATTTTTTTTTATAATTCGGCCGTTAAATAGTTAAAAACGTTAAAACGGACTATTATATAGATGCAAAACAATGTCTTTTTGGTGAAAATTTTATTTTTTTTAAAACGTCATCATTTTTAACTTCATTAACTATTTAACAGCGGAGTGATCAAAAGAGAAAAGAGTGCAAAATTCAATGACAAAAAATATCCAATGTATTAAGTTCAATGAGAAAATTAAAAGCTTTTAAAGTTCAGTGAACAAAATAGGAGTGAGCATAAAGTTCAGTGATGAAATTTGTAATTTACCCTATATATATTAAGAAAGTAATTTTAGCTTAGGAGATTTTTCCCCAATAAAATACAGTTACTTTTAGTTTCCAAAAGCCTCTATTATATTATTAAATATCTAAAAATGTTAAACATAATTAAAGTTGTTGCATTAATAATAAAAGGTTAAACTTATTACATTAATTATATTTAAATGCATTTTATATTGGATCAGTTAAATCACTTCATTATTAACATCATTCGATAAAGGTGTCAATCAAACTAATACAAATACATATAAATGTATTCACAAAAAATTTAGAGTAAATAATATCAATAAAATAAATAACTAATTGAAGAAAATTTAGATTTGAAGTGTGCACATGCTGACCCTCACCACGCCCCGAATCCGCCTCTGTGGGAAGCCACTATGACAGTATCTCAAAAAATAATGTAAATTAAAGACATAATTGGCCCCGAATGCTTAAAAACTTCCCTCTACAACGCAACAAATGGCTTTTATTTTGATCACACCAATGAAGAATACGAATACCAGTCTTGAGTGAAGGATGAACTCGGCCGAGACGGATCGGAACTGGAACTGCGTCTCGTTACTACAGATTACGATATCCTGTTAGAGTTTATTGTCGATATCGAGTTCATGCACCCTGAACAATGGCAATTAGCCTCCTCAAGTACTATAACGATATCCGGTGCAGGGCAGTGCGTCTGAATCATTTCCTTCGACACAAAGCCAAGGCCACCGTGCCGTACTTGAGGAGGCTGAAGAAGTAACATCGTTATAGTACACTTCGTTAATAAAATGGCAATTAGCCGTTATCATTCTTTGTTTCAATCATTACTGAAGAAGTAAAAGTCTACCTTGCAATATGCACATTCGGTCATATGCCAAAACATGCAGGAACCTGAACAAATAACGGCTAAAACGCTGTCTCAACTAGGGTGTAAAGGAAACACCTTTGCTCATAAACTATTCAGGTTTGGCTCGAAAAAAAACTCGAATTTGGCTCAATCATTATTGGCCCTTGGAGCTATTAAGTGAGGTAAATTTAAGAATCATAATATTCGACTCAAATAGCTCGGAAATGATACTGAGTTTATTTTTTACAAAGTAAACGAGTTTAATCGGCAACGAGTTATTTTTAAGCTAACTAGTGATTTAAAAGTGAAACCGGAAAGAGCACAGTTCGAGATTCAAGTGGAGCTCAACCTCAAGCTTCTTAAGATCGAGTGCAGCTTGAGTTATTACACACCTAATCTGAATAATGATGGGAGCTACTCAAACAATCTGAAGATTTTCATACCTCAGTTTCTCTTTTATTTATTGGATTCTACGAAGCCTATCATATATGAATTTTGATTGTGTAATTTTATATATAAATATAAAAATAAATAAATATTCTACTCCTAAACTGCTGGTATAATTAGGGGTGAGCGTTCAATTGTGTCGAGTCGAGTCAAAAAAATTTGAGTTATTCGAGTTGACGAATCCTATTTTACAACTCAAAGTTGACTTAAAATTTTTTTAGTCGAGTCAAGTAGCTATAAACATTTATAATATGATGATATTATTTGATTCTAATTTAAATGGTTTTTTAAATCATATACAATACATGTGTATTTCTTCATTTTTTTTTTCATATGTGATAATTTATGATACAGAGTTGAGGGACTCAACTCAAACTTGAAAATCAATCCACTAAGTACTAAAAATTTTGAGTTATTCGAGTTGTATTTAACAACTCGGTTTGAACTTGAAATTTTTTCGAGTCGAGTCGAGTTTATGAAATTACAACTCAAAGTTAATTCGAGTTAAGTTGAAAAAAATTTGATTTTTTGAAATCCTCACTGTTCATGAACACTACGATCCATTGTAATTTAAAACTATAGTCTGTAAGGAGCAATAAGAGTTTTAATCACTATAATCGTCAATATGTAATGAAATCCTCACTGTCCATATTATCAAAAGCTGTACCACGATGAAACTAAAACCAGAAACAGAACACAAAATTCTTCCAATACCTTCCCGCAAAAATACAACACCTACAAAATAAATAATGAAACAAACAATCAAAATTCTCTCCGGAAAAAATAAACACTGTTTATGAGCAAGAAAATCACTTACAGAACACCTTCATTGAGGCGTTCTCTGTTGGATATATGAACTGTAAAACTACACCGTTAGCACTGACTGGAAATATAAACAGTAATTAAAATGAACAAATTCATAAATCGTGTCGTGGCAAAAACCATTGTCTTAGAAACGAATTCGTCCCGATGTGTGTAATCACTGCAGTAGGCGGTCCGTCCCCCGAGATTAACACGGTCGCTCCGAATTCCGTACACCCGAAACCGGAGTGGACTGCTGGTGGTATTGCTCTTCTGATTGGAAAGCACAGAAAGAATAATTGCAGAAAACACTTTGAGAGTGAATTGTGAATGTTGAGAGTGAGTTGAGAAGCTGTTTAATTTCTGATAACTCTCATAAACCAGCTGTTATCATTTGTAGCCTATAAATATTAGTCAAAGACACGTATTACCACGAGCCGAGACGAGACGGACGGACGGCGTCGGTGCGCGAGAGTCCCCCTTGTTCTCTATCACTCAACAAGGAAGTGGGAAAGCCAAACCTTAAATATCATTCCCCATAATGTTTCCAATATTATGTGGGATTGAGCATTACCAACATTCTCCAGCAACGTTGCTGGAACAACTAGGACAGAAAACCATCCTCGGTAATTACGAGTTCTAAAAAAATAGCTCGATTTTTTTCTTCTCCCTTTTGTAAGTAACGAAATGAAGTTCTCCAAATTTCGAAAATGAAACCAAGTTAGTAATAATACAAATAATTTACATCAAAAGAGATTAATATTAATAAATCATAATAATACTTGGAAGAAGAAAATATGAAGATGTCGGAGGTTGAGAAGCAAATGGGGAAGTGAGTGACTGAGTTGAGAACCAGGGGAACGGTTAAGGGATGGCGTTATGGTTTAGGCCATAGGAGGAAAGTAATTTTCTTAAGGAAAGGAAATTTACTAAATTTTTTTACTTTTGGGGCAGTAAGCGCGCGAAAATATACCTGTGCATCGCACTTTTATCCTAATCGAAAAGATATGACCGTCCACGAGCAGTCGCGGGCCGAGCTCAAACATTGATGGGCGATGTCGCAGCTCAAGGGAGCGTTTAGAGTCCTTGATTAGTTGGAGGGATACAAGAGCTACCGGCATTTTTGTAGTGTTGTGCCTACTTGCTTCATTGTTTTACCATTCAAGGTGTTTGTGTTAGGTCTAGGATTTACTACCTCCGGCACCCTAGGTTCCGAGGTGACATACCATCGCTTCCTATCATCTTCTTTCGGCGACTACCGTCGCTTTCCGATCAAATTATGTAGACTCTTTATCCATCATTATCTTTCAAAATGATTAAAGTGTGATATTACTGTTGTTATTTTACAATTACAAATCTTCATTATATTTATAAATGATTGTGAACCGACAGGTAATTGACAGATTTTAAAACGAAAACATACATCATTAGAAAATGGCTCGAATCAAATTACTTTATCAAATTTCTTTTATCAAGAACTACATGACTTGAAGAAATGAAATTCCAATGTGTAAATGCTACATATAAAGGCCAAAACAAATTTCCCCAGAGGTAAAGAGGCCGACGGCATATTATTTGGGCCCTAGATGACCTCGGCCACCGCACTCCGAGCACATAACATTGCCGGTTCCTCCGCAACCTGAACAGTAACAAAATTCATACTTCATTACAACATATCAGCCGCATATAAACATAACAGAAAAACCATACTAAAAGCAAAATCAGACACGGGAAATCTAACGCTTAATCCAACTGATTTATACAACAAACAAAATCTGGGATTCAATTCCCTGTATTCCCAAACTGTGGCTATCTTTAAGACATGACATCTAACATGTTTTTTGGGTTCAAATCCAATATCATCAATCTTTCCCCTTATTCCAAACTGCAGCTTCCGTTGTTGAAAAAATAAAAAATCTTCGGACTCGTGATGTTAAGAGTTTAGAATATTCGAGTGTTCCTCAACATGATAGCAATGACAAACAGAGTTTTGACAAATAATTTTATTCTACAAAAGTCTTTCGTGATCGGACAAAAATACAGAACTGAATCACAATCACAGTGTTAATAGGTAGAGTAGTCGAGCCACTTCATACGCATCGACTTTAATATAAATCGCACTGTTCAATTTGGTAATGTAAAATCATAATGCATTTCACCAAGAAGCATCTGCATTGCGCGAAAGCAAGCTATGGAAACCTTAAATGCAAGAAATGGCCGATAATGAGGAGATTCTCAATATATTTTGAACTTCAGTTAATCTGGTAGCATCAATGTAAAACCCTAATTTATTCACTTTATAGAGGATTCTTCACATGATAAACAGGTTTTAAGGGTCTATATCATACATAATAGATGCAGGAAATTGACAGCATAAAAATACTTTTAGGAACATAAAAATCATTGAAGAAGCATTAACTTTACCTAGGCAGCGGACTTTGACAATGATGCCCTGGCTCTCTAATATCGAGTCCACATATAATCCGCAACCAGAACAAGTGGAACAAAGGACAACACCTTTGGCCTGACAATCAATGCAACGGGGATTATCTCCAACTAACTTTTCAGCCAGATGTACCCCAGCTGGTTCTTCAATTCTTTCCTCGGGAATAGGTTTATCATAACAAAATAGCGATTCAAGACTGCTTCTTTGTTTGTGTGCATCTCCCACTGCCCTTGACTCAGCCTGTTACATCAAAATTCATCCTTTCAAATATACATACCGTAGCCAACCTACTTTGAAAGTGTATAATAATCGCAATTACTCAGACAACCTGACAGAAGAATTATCTTAACAGTACCTATATCAAAGCAACCACAAGAAAGCAATCTGATAACGATTTTCAATGAACCTGATCAAGGCACCATGACAAAAACAAAATCAACAAGGCTTTCCAAACTGCAGCTTGCTCATCATAGTGTAGCGGTGAAGGAGGAGTTGCTGAAGAGAGGAGTTACTAGGGTGGAAGACACTGTGTGCTCTTTGTGCAGGAAGTGCAATGAGTCGGTCTCACATTTGTTTCTGCATTGTGATGTGGTGTGGGATTTGTGGGCTAAGTTTTTAAAGTATTGGAATGTTTTCTTTGTGGTTCCGGCTAAGTTGATGGAATTCTTAATTGCGTGGGATGAGCTTGTTCCGAGATCTATCATATGGAAGTTTATCCCTAGGGCTGTGTTGTGGTCGGTTTGGAAATGTAGGAATGAGGTGATTTTTCAGCAAGGGAAGGTTGATTTTGCGCTGTTGTTCTTCATTACAAGATTCAGAATTGTTTCTTGGTTTGGAAATTCATTTAAGGACGTCCATGTTCCTTTCGATTCCTTGATGGGGGATTTACAACTAGCAGACTTGAATGGTAATCTGAAAAAGAGGTCTCCTCCTTCTTATAGGTGGAGTCCTACTTCGGAAGGGTTCTTAAAAGTAAATGTCGATGGTGCAATGGTCAAAGGTTGGGATAAGGGTGGAATAGGTGGATTGATTAGGGATGGTAGTGGTTCGGTGCTTGGGTCGTTTTCAGAGAAGGTAGGGGGAGGTCCTCCTTTACTTGCAGAGCTTTTGGCGATCAAAAGAGGGTTGAATCTTATAGAGGAAGTTGGTTACATTCCAAGTCAGAGGATTATTTTGGAATCGGATTCTACTAATGCTCTAAAGTGGATTAAAAATCTGCACCTTAGTACTTCTTTGTTCAAATCCTTGGCGAGGGATATAGCTACTCGTGTGGAAAGGAAGGGTATTATCACAAGGCATATTTCGAGAGCTGCAAATTGGGAAGCGGATGAATTAGCAAAAGTTGGTATAGGTTGATTTTTGGGTTTCTGTTGTGGTTAAAGGTGTTATACCTTGGCTGTTCTTTTTAAGGGAGTTATGAGGGTGTGTTATGTATTCAGAGTTATGGATTAAAGGTTATGTTGTTAGTAGTTAGTCATGAAGGTGTGGAGGTGTATTATTGTTCTCATTAATAAAAGTTAGAGGCACTCTTTTCCTCCTTCCTATGTCCTTCATGTTATGTTTATAACATGTAGGATATGAAGGGGTTTTTTAATGAGGCCTTATTTGATCAAAAACAAACAAACAAACAAGGCTTTCCAAACAATCGAGGATTTGTTTGATAGGTGTGATTGCTTATTGCATTTTGTTACTATTCGCATTTTATTCTTCGTAAATGCTTCTAGAAATCAAAAGAAAACAGTCTAAATAAAATTAACAAAAATGCTAAAATGTAACACCAATTCTAACATAGTTCTATACAAAAGAGAAAAAAAGATATTTTCTATTGGATTTCTTAACCATTTAAACATATTGTTTGCTTCTGTATGCAAAGTGTACCTTTGCTTTTTACCTAGTAACTCAAACTCGAGTGTGAGTCATATATGGATACGAGTCTGACACTGTTTTGTTTAACTTTTCAGAGCTTATGCATTTTGAATAACCTTTGAAAGGGTCATATCCCAAGGTACCTAAGTTTGAATATGCCAACATTTATCATGTACATAAAAGAAATCCTTGAAGAAAGTGCCACATCTCCACAGTAACTATTTCCGAATATGCATCCGACATGGGTATTTCAAGGAAAATGAAAGAGCCGAAGCAACGTAGGTTTTACTCCGGACATAGAAAACAAGTATCAAATGAAAGATCTAAACCGTACATAAGTTCATGAAAAATTTCACTGGTCGTTCTCTAGTTAGACTAAAATTGCCATAGTATAAGTATTTCTAAAGGTTAATGAAGATTAAAAAATAGCACCATAATACTTCTTAAAGCTTTTCTTAATGCATACAAATGGAGAAATTTAAAGTTCAAAACTTTACAAGTATAACTAAGATCAAATAAAAACAAACCAGACAAGGAAAAAAGTACTGCGAAAAGAAATTCACATATAATAGTAGCAGTCCTGTCCTAACTCCTAACAATGATATATGCACTGTAATTCAAGTAGCAAAAAATTACTGTTTTTTTTTACATTAAAAATGGTTGAAATTAAAATTAACAGAAAAGGGCACCCTTTTCATTGTACAATTTCTCAATTAATAAAATTAAGTGAACACGTCACATTTAATATGAATATACATAGATATTATGAAAGAAAAGGGTAAAAGGAAAGAAATGTAGCTAAACTGACCTCATGAGAAGAAGAAGAAGAGGATGAAACAGGGCCATTGGAACAAACTGCGCGGATTTTGGAGATCGAATTGCGTCCATTGGATCCGAAACCGTAAGAAATGTTGTTAATTCTTTTCAATTTTGGAGTTGAATTTATGGGAAATATCATTGGGGATGAAACTTTCATGGCAGACTCCATTATGTCCCAAAACTTAAACAACAAAGAATTATTATTGTTAGTAAGAAAACACAGCGAGTTTCTTTGATGAAAACTGGGCAAGCGGAGAATTGGGTTTCTGAAGTAAATTAGAAATATTTTTCAAAAGAGAGCTTCGAGGAAATCGAAGAATCGAGGGTTTCTTTGCTGCGTCTCGTTGTCCACGATGTTTAGTGGATGGTCGGATATCGTGTTAATTAAAAAAAAAAAAATTATGTAATTTATCATTCAACTTTTCTTTCGTTCCATGTATACTCTTATTCGTATTTATTTTTATTAGTCTTTTAGTTAGATTTTTAATTTTTTTTTTCATGTATGTTCCTTATATGATCTAAAGTTACTAGTTTTAATGTTATAAGAAAAGTTCAAATTATGTATTTAGTTTATGATAATTGTAAACTCTTATTATAATTTTGGATATTTTAACTTCTTAATAATACAATCGGCTTCTATTAAAAAAATCTATTGATTCAAATATCAAAAATAAATGTTAATATGTCAGATTAATTGATCAATAGATTGAATATCAGTGATTATACAAAATAATTATTAAATTAAAAAATAAAATTCAGATGCAAATGATTAATATTAAGCCTAGACGACATCATGCATTATCCAACCCTCTTACCAAAGTTTTCATTAGCCCCACATCTTTTTCATGATTATAAATGGGGTATGGTCCAGCAGAATTTGGACAATTCCACATCGTTCGCCTTAATGAAGTGGGGCTCTTGTCCAGCCTTTCGTCCAAATGGAAAACCAATCGGTTCACGTTGAATCTGAACTTTCAGGACCATACAAATAAACACACGTTTTGTTTAATTCATATTTTTTTTCTTTGGACATGTTCAATCATCCATGTCTTATTCGTGTTTCTATGATTGGCATGAAAAAAGAAGAAATAATTGCAAGACGAAATATACATATATGAATTATCACACATATATATATTCATTCAATAATCTTTAATAAACAATATCGAAATAGATCTATAATCCATATTCATGTATTCTAGACCATCATCTCATTTCATATTAAAAGTTGTGGCGTCTTTATTAGATGTATAATAATATTTTATAAAGCTTCACACCCCAATATTTGGGTAAATTATAAATTTCATCATTGAATTGTATTATCTCTCTCCTATTTTGCTCACCGGTCTTTACAAGTTTTTAATTTTCTCACTGAACATAATACATTAAGTTTTTTTAGTCACTGAGCTTTACTCTCTCTCTCCTATTTTGGTCACTTTATCATTAAATAGTTAACGACGTTAAAAACGATGCCATTTTAGGGGAAAAAATATCAAACGACGTCGTTTGCATCTATATAACTGTCCATTTTAACGCAGTTAACTATTTAACGGCTGAGTGATAAAAAAATCCAATTTATAAAGTTCAGTGAGAAAATTGAAAAGATTTAAAGTACACTGAGTGAAATAGGAGAAATAGTAAAGCTCGGTTACCAAATTAGTAATTTATCCATATTATGGTTAGAAATGATTTTATCAAAACTTCAACTTGAAGACTATCTTCCTTAATAATTCTATATATGTTACTAAAGTAAGAATAGGAAATTGATTATTTAGATTATTTTAGTTTGAATTTAATATTTACACAGTGTCATCTTGTAACCCCCTCAGACCGATGCGGATATCCCGATCCGATCTGGAGTGTCACATTAGGGTTACCGTAGCGACCCATTGTAAAAATAGCAGAAAATTTAAAACTTTTATTAAAACATGTAACTCATAATTGCTTTATCAGCATTCAGAAATAAAACATATTTTCAGACTCGTATATAAAACAAAATACAATCTACATGCCCCCTAATCACATGTATCATACTCTGAAAATAACGCCGGAAGAACTACCTTACTGATGTCGATAGCTGCACTGGTACAATTCTTTTAACCTGCAATGTTGAGTAATAGAGTGAGCTTCGGAAAGCTCAGTAATACAGAACTACCAGATGATGCTACATGACATGTAGATAAAGGGGAAGCCATATAATTTCTTTATTGAATCGTACGTAAACCAGTTTGCAGAATAATTTGGGGTTCCCTTAGAAGTTCATCAAGTAGAAGCCATGAATCTCAGTTCATAAGAAACCTTTCAAAGTATGACATTTTCAGGAGATCGAATATGATGTCTAGTGTGTTCCAACAGTATAATAAAATTATAATAGGTACACTTATCAAATGATAGTTCAGTAAATCTCATAAAATCATAATGAAATTTAACTTTTGAAAATCATAGTTTAAACTCTTTTCTTGTACACCATCAGTAATTTCCAAAACTATTTTCCATATAGCTTACTCTAAGCACACAGCAAAAAGAAAGCCAACCTAAGGATAAGCTTTATAGCTTGTATCCTTAAGCCCGTAAGTCCAAGTCCATATAGCTTACCCTAAGCACACAGCAAGGGAAGCCAACCTAATGTATCTTAGGGCCCCAAGAGTCACATTAGGCCCATTCTGTTTATTAGCTTGATCAGAGCTATACTATTGTAATTCAATCCAAAAGTTCAATTGCACCGTGACACAAATTCCATAAATCATCACATTAAATTGGTGCATCAATAAAACAGTAACCAAAGAACTCAGTGTACCTCATATTAAAACCAATAAAACAGTTCAGTAATAATTAGGGAATACACTAGAGAATCCAAGTATTTTCAGAGGCCATTGTAGTTATCATTTTGGATAACATGAAACTTATGAAATTTGATCAAATTCCAGGAACAAGGTCCTATTGAGGAGAATCGATTACTAACCGATCTAGCCAGACATTTAAGGTTGGTACATTAGAATCCCGCTATATTTTTGTATGCATTAGGAAAACGTTCAGGAACCTTTATACATAATAATTCTAAATTCAGATTTAATGCGAGTGATTCCATTACCCAAACAATCAGGGGTATTCAGGAATATACTTTGAATTCATAGGATTTCAGCCCAATTGAACCAAATGAGATATTCAGAATCTTTTCCTTCTGCGTTACTTGTTTTTTTTTCAAACATAACCGAAGTGATTTTAGATGAAATATAGAATCGAAGATTCAAGTCATTTACAATCTACGACTATCGATCATATTATCAAACAACTCGAGTTATACAACTCTCAAACTGATGCATGTCAACAAGTCAATTCATTATCCTTCCAGTGTATTCACTCTTTAATACCATAATGCAGATCCATAGATCATCCCCATAATCATCACTGAATAAATCTTCCAACGGTCTTTATTTCATTTCCACGTTTCAACAATATCAGGAAATACTGATGTACTTGATCCATGGCTCATAACCCATAATGACAATTCATCATGTAAGTTCAACAGTGTTTCCAAACTCATCAAATCACCTATTTAATCCTTAGTCATTGATGTTACTTAGTTCGTTTGGTAAGCAAGTCTATCCCGATTACTTTAAAAGTTTTCCAGAATAATTCAGACGTTTCTGAATTTCAAATACATGTTGTACTTCATTTCATTTCAATTTATTCATATAATAAAGTCATTCTGGTATTCGTGGTTGATTTGACTAACGAATACCCACTTATTAGTACTGTATGCGCTCTAGAGTTGAGCTGAGCCAAGTACTTCCAGAATTATCATCGATCTAAATTTGAGAAGATGAATAAACATTCAAGTGATACTTATATCATTCAGGTAATGATATAGTACTAACGTTAGTTGATCACTTAAGTTGCGTTCCACAACTTTTACTGGTAGCACAACATCCATGTTTTATTTGGATTTCTTAATTAATCCAAGACATTTACTTATTCTAGGTCATAAGGGTATTTTGGTCATTCTGGTGCCCAGTTTCATTCCATTCTTTTCAGAGCTCGAGGATATCCAATCATTCCTGAGCTTGGTAATATTCTTGAGTCTTTTTCATTACAGGGGTATTCTGGTCATTTTATAGATCCAGTGTATTTCAATTCTTTCCTTCAATTTTGTCTTATTATTTAATTCCAACTTATCATTTATTCCAGACCTTTCAAATAATTCTGACAAAATAGCACCCTCGATAATTTATTCTTAACTCGAAGATTTTCAGATCGATTGTCTTCTCAGATGTTACCAACAGGTTATCAGAAATTTTATGTACAAAGACAAGATCTTAACAATTAAATACGTAATTCATTGAGTTAAGTACAAATCCTCCAAGAACTTTCTCATTCAGGGTTAACTCGAGCTATTTTTACCTTTCAAGGGTATTTTCGTAATTTCTTAACCAGATGATTTCGGTATTAACTCTTAACGAGCATACTTATAATTTAAAGATCCTATGGTTAGTTGTTTCCTCGAACATTCTCTGATCTTGAAATGATTCCTTAACAGACTTCTAGTATCTTGCAAAATCCCTATTGAGGTTAAAAACCGGTTATCCATAATTTCCAAGTAAAACTAACATTTCTTATGCACATCAATAAATTTATCAGATCAATATGTCTTTTCAGATTTACTAATCCACTTCCAGGGACAATTCTTGTCATTTTCCAACATAAGGGTAATTTCGTAATTTTACCTAATCGAAATATTCTCATAATTTCTCATATAAGTACCTTTAACATTTAACCTTTGATGATATAAAATATAAGTTACAAATCCAGGGCTGGTTTCTTTATCACTTATCACAAACTTGTAATTTAATTATAACAATTCCTCAATCTCTTATATTAGTCATTCGATCCGTATTCAGTTACAGAATTTCTACCACATTCATATCGAGTGAATAAATTATTCAACTCCACAAAAGTAACCAACATTATTTTATTCATGCATTTACCAATATCAACATGTTCCATAAAGCATAAAGAGGTAGTAAAGTATTACCTCGATTTTCATGCCATACTAATCGACCATTTAAACTCCATTCGAACGTCTTCGATACATACAGATGGATCGGAAGGTGCTGGGTCGAGATTCCAATTTTATTCTCTCACGAACCCGGACCATAAAATATACAAACTTGAATCCAATATATTTCCCCTTGTGATAAAAATTATTATTATAACTAATTTAATAGTTTGGGAATCCAAATGATAAAACTAAAACTTTAAGAGTCGCTAAAATATTTAATAACTAAAATCAGGTACTATATCGAATTGATTTAAACTTGTCATAGCTTGGTTGAAATTTATTGAAACTTAAGGACAAGTTAGAACCTTACCAA